CCCCACCTCAGAGCTTCAGGGGCTGTGCTCTGCAGGTGTACCCCATCTCAGAGCTTCAGGGGCTGTGCTCTGTAGGTGCACCCCGTCTCAGAGCTGCTGCCGCCTTCTGTTCCAAAGGTGAATGCTTGTGCCATCAGAACAGCATTAGGCCTTAACTTGGCTAAATACCCCAAGATTATGCTGTAAAGCAGAAGTCATCCCAGTATGGGAAGTACGTGCTGAAGCATGAGGGATGTGCTCTTCGGAGTGGACCCTCATAAGGGCTTTCCTGTAGAAAAGCCTGGACTGAGATCACCAACTGTGGTATACTTAGGCCCAACTCCATTGCATTCTTTTTTTTTTTTTTTTGCCCTTTTTTAAAACAGGGTCACATGTAGCCCAGGCTGACCTCAAACTCCCTGTGTAGTTGAGGATGATCTGAAACTCCCCATCCTCCTGTCTCCATCTCGGGAATGCACCACTACACTGAATTTATGTAGCACTGGGGCTCTGTGCTTGCTAAGGAAGCACTCTACCAACTGACCTACACTTACATGCCCTGCCCCCATACAGTCTCCTGAGTGCTGAGCCACTGCACTTAGCTGGAGCTTGGAGGTCAATGCATCCCCTACCCCCATTTCTGTCAGAGCGCATGTCAGATCTCTTCTCTGATGTAACCCACGGTTCCTTCCAGATACTTGGCTGTTCTTCTCCGCCCAAGTCTTCACCATCCTGTTTGGCAGCTTTCTGTGAGGTTTGTGAATTCTGTATTCCTTAGGTAGCCTTGTGCCTCAGATGACTGGCTTGACGGGGTTCTTCTGTGCCAGGAAAAGCAGGCCCCTCTGGAGAAGGGGGGATTCCTGTTTCCTAGTTCCCTTTCGGATGTACACTCAGTTCGAAGTTTGCTGAGTCCCTTCTTCTGTTGGCCTTGGGACTTTCTGTCCAAAGGAGGAAATCTAGTGGCCAGACTAGACTTTCAGTCGCCATTCTAACAGGGAAGTGAGACACACCCGGCCAGCTTGCTGCCCTTGACCCCCACTGAGAGGACATTGCCCTCCTAGTCTTTGTGGTCTTTACCCAATTTGTGCTTCATGGGCTTAGCATACAGACTCCTTGGCACCATATCTGGGGCAGTTGACTTGGGAGCTCTTGGGACGCCTCTAAACCTGCATTATCATAGAAGGCCTTGTCTTTTGTGGTTAAGAGAAGGAGCCTGGCCTGAGTTGAGCCTGCAAACTCACAGGGTAGATGTTGAGAACTTCTGACTCTTGAAAGTTGAACTCTAGCAAGGCCGTGGTGGTGCATACCTTTAATCTCAGCAGTTGGGAGGCTGAGGCTGGAGGATTTCTGTGACTTCAAGACCAGCCTGGACTCAGAGAGAGTTCCAGGACAGCCAGAGCTACACAGAGATATCCTGTCTCACCCCTCCAAAAGGGGGGGGGGAGTTTGTCTTTTAACCTCCACATGCACACCGGCATGTGCACTGATGTGTGGGTACACCTTGGGCAAGTTTACAGGTAGCGCTGTATAGCACTGTATAGAACTGCACAGGACTCTAAGTAAAGGAGACAAAGCTGGGCGGTGGCGGCGGCAAGCCTTTTATCCCAGCACTTGGGAGGCAGAGGCAGGCGGATCTCTGTGAGTTCAAGGCCAGCCTGGTCTACAAGAGCTAGTTCCAGGACAGGAACTAAAAGCCACTGAGAAACTCTGTCTCAAAAAATCAAAAAAAAAAAAAAAAAAGGAGACAAATGTGTAAAGCACCGCCTGCAGTTGCCTCATAGGACAGAGCCATTTCACAGAAAAGGGAATGCAGATGCTCTCTAACACGCGGGAAGATCCAAACCTCAGTCCTCAGAAGAGAAACACAAACTGAAGGTGTGCTGAGACAATCTCACTGTTTGAGGAGTACGCATTTCTACTTGACCGCATACCTTCTTGACAGGCTGGCAGAGTGAAAAACTGTGCAACTCCCAAGGAGAGGCAGGCAGGTTACAAACGCATTTATTCTCTACCTCCTTCTCCAGAACTCTGGGCTGAACCCAAGGTCTTACGCACGCTCCAGGAGTGCTCTCCTATTGAGCTACATCACAACTCTTAAACACACTGATTTTGAAAAAACTCATTTATTTATGCCCATGCTCTAGCACTCCTGGGCAGGCCAGAAGAGAATGTACGGAGCTGTTTCTCTCCTTCCGCCATGTGTCCTGGGGATTGAGAGCAGGCCCTCAGGCTTGGGCCTGGCAGCAGCACCTTTACCAGCTGAGCCATCTTAACGATCCCTAAATATATTTACTCTGTATTCACTTTCTGGGAACTTACCCTGTGGATCTGTCTGTGCATTTATGAAATATAATGAATACAGAACCATTCCCAATTGTATCATCTATAATTATAAAATACTGAAGATGTCCCCAGTGTCCATGTAGAGTCCAGATCACTAATCAGAGACAAATCCCTTGGTGCCAGTCTGGAAGGATCTCTAGAATGTACTGCTTAGTGGTGATCATTTGTACCAAATGCTGGCTAGGCTGCCGTGATGCCTTTCGGGGTGGGGGAACTACAGCCAATACAAACAGATTTGCTTCTATCTGTGTGAAGAGACACCGAAAAGATATAGAAGAGGGAAGGAGAGGGAAGATAAGGCTGTAAATCTGTTCTCTTCTGTACTTTTTAAACTCTTAAGCTATGGGAGAGTTGCCTCTTCTTTTGTTTGGTTTCCTTTTGTTTTTGTAATAGAGTCTGACCGGATCTGTGGCTGGCATCAAACTGGTCATTCTTTTGCCTTAGCCTCCCAAGAGCTGAGATTACAGGCATAAACTAACCCACCTGCTGGAATGCTGATCTCTTAAAACCTAATGTTAAGTCCTTAAGTAAAAGTTGCTGACTTGTTATTTCTCTCTTCAGTTTTCCGTGCTGGCTGTTTAAATTCCGTGCAGCTGCTCATGAAGTTTCTTCCTTTGCCCCAAAAGGACTTTGAGAGCTGACTTCTCCTTGCCTGACTGAGAAGCCCAAGAGTCTTCTTAGTTTCCCATTCAGATAGATGCCTGGATATCATGTCTGCTATCCAGACACCCAGACACCCAGACACTGTGATATAACACACACTGTGGTTCATGAATGGTTCTTTAAGAGGCCACCCTCTCTGAGACAGGCCTGAGAGAGCAGGCTAAAGATGGCCCCACAGGGAACTTCCCATGTGGGTAACATCCTTTGTGGGCAGAACTGGTCCTGGAAGATGGACAAGTGCTTAGCCTTAAGGAGCAGAGCATACCAGGGGTAGACAGAGCAGCCAGGGCTGGGTGGGAACTCGAAGGTGCCTGCACTGTTGGTGGAGCTCTGGAAGGGATGTGGGAAGACAGCCTGCTGAGAATGCCCTCACTCTGCCCTGGACCTTTCCTCCTTTGTTCTGGGACCTTTGAGAGTCAGACAACTGGCTAGCGGGCAGTCCTTCTGGGCTGGTGCCCATGGAGTCCTTGCAATAAGCGTAGCTTAGACATGTCAAACAAACGTGATGAGTGTTTCGAAGGAGCAACAGCTTCTCTAGGAACTTGTAGTTCACACTGGCAGCTGAGATGAGCCAGGATCTTTGGAAGAACCAGATCTCAGGTAAGTCATGAGAGTCTTTAATGCAGGCAACTGCTAGCCAGTACCCCAGATATGATCAGTCATGATGGGGGACAGGGGGCTTTGTGGGATCAGCAAAGATAGGGACCACCCCAGAATGCCTAAGGCCTTCACAGAAAGAGGTGGCCTACAGAGAGGCCAGTCAAGCAGCGAAGTACAAGAGTTACCAGAACAGAAGCAGGTAAGCAGGAGTCTAAGGCTTGGGCCTGCTGAATGCTGTTCTCTAGGGCCATCCTGGGGCAGCAGCTGAAGCCAGCACAAGGTTGGGAAGAGCCTAGGGCCTTGGCCCGCACTAGGACACAAAGCTTCTGTATGTCTGGACTTGAGAACACATTAGGGAACATATTACTAGAAGCTGGTCTCTTCACTGAAGGTAGTGTGTCTTCAGGGAAACCTAACCTGGAGCTCAGCCCCCAGCCCAGTCTTATTCTGCCTGGAACATTCCTGGTTCTTTGCCTTTGCAGGGAGATGGCTCGGCTCAGGCTGTTTAGAGTAGGCAAGTAGGGTAGGATATGTGGGTTTAGGTAAGTCGCCGGGACTGAGGAGTGTCAAGGACCCTGCATAATGGACCACAGAGGTTGTCGGGGTGGGGCACTGCAGGACCCAGTGAGACCAGCATAGCCGGTCTCAAAGGAATTAGCAGTGTGGGGTGTCAGAGATGGACGGTGTGAGAACCTTGCTAGGAGCCTATCACAGAAAGTCTGGTAACTTCTGATCATTGTCTGTCCTCCTCTCAGCGACCCCAGAAAGAGGAAGAGAGTAGGGGAGAGACTCCCAATCTTTTTCATCACTATAATGATCCCACTGATTGTCGCCTGAGCCTGGACTTCCTAGATAACATGCTTCATGGGGGAAGGGCTGAGCTTGCAGCGGCTCCCCTGCAAGTGTGTGTCCTGACTTCTGCTTTCTGCTCTCAGAACCCTCTCCAGGCACCCAAGCATCCCCACTCAGTCATCTCTCACTCCTTCTTCCTCTTCCTTCACCTCTCAAACCAGCCAACGACAACTCACCGTGGTAGGGACATTGTCCTGTTCCCAGCCCTCCATCCCCCAGCACCAGGCTGTCCCTCTGTCTGAATTTCCTGCCCATAGGCCTTTTGCCTAGTGCAGAAGCTCTCTCTCACCTTCTTGTACCTCAGCCTTCAACCTTGGGGAGCCACAGGCAGCTCATTTGGCAACTGACTGGGGGGGGGGGCTCCTTCTGCCCCTCAGAAGCCTTACACAGACCTTCCAGGGTGGATTTGGCCCTTTGTAAGGTGTTGGCTTCATGACCAGGCTCTGAGCTGTATGCGTGTTATGAATTCATGGATCCTGGCACCCAGCACGAGGCCTGAACATTGGTGAGCTAATTAGCTGAAGTAAATTAACATGATAATTCCATTTATCTGTCCTTTCTAGGGAAAGATTTGTTATAGTGGAACCAATACCAGGAGGAAGAGCAGTCTAGAGGTGGTCTACCTGCTTCCCTTCTAATACCCGCCCCCTTTCCTGGAGTTAGGAGCTCTTGGTGCATTTCCACAGTCATCTCCTTCTCTGTGTGGGGAGAAGGCATTGCAGGTAAGAAGAAAGTTCTGGAATGATGGATAGTCCTTGTTTTGTTTACTTCAAAGCCCTCTAGACACCACCCCATTTTCCTCCTCCCTTCCTTCCTCTCTGATTCTTTATTTTAAGCGATTGAATTTAATTAATTAATTAATTGCTTTTTGAGATAGGTTCTTTCTGTGGAGTCCTGGCTGTCCTGGAGCTTGCCATGTAGACCAGACTGGTCTCAAACTCACAGAGACCCTCCGGCCTCTGCCTCCTGAGTGCTGGGACTAAAGGTGTGTGCCACCACACCTGGCTATATGTTAAGCATTTCAATTACATTAAAAAAAATGGTCTTTATGATGTCTTTTCTGAATCTAAACTGTTTCTGGAGATATCAGAATGGGTTATGTGGAGTTAAGAGCTTTGTGGCCATGTGACTTTGAAACCGTGTTAAGTGACTTTAATGGGGGCTTCCTGCTGGCCAGAGAGAAACTTTAGGAAGCTGCTGCTTTGGGGGTAATCTTTCCTAACAGCCAATGACAGACAGCGGCTCTCAGATGAGACGTCTGCAGTGACTCTCAGACACAATGTTTATGGTGCCAACTCCCCCAGTCGCTGCATTCCTCTTATTTGGCTGGGTACTTCTGGACTCTTGGGGAAATTCTGTCTGTGAGCAGCTTCCTTTGCGTCCTTGTCCCACAGAGCTTCCTGAAAGCTTCGGTGTTAATGTATCATTCCAGGAAGACAGGAGCAGCGTAGTCTGTTGCCCTGAGCTCACCCCCTCCCAGTGCTGCCTGTTCTCTTCCCCTAGATATGATAGCTCTTGACTTTTTGTGTATTTCCTTTCAGCATGTCTGTGCACATATATGTTAGCTACAGGGGATCTTTTGGTTAAAATCTGTGGAACGAACGGGAACAACATACTTGAAAGCAGTGCTTTAGGTGGCAGGGAAGTAACTGGCTAAATAGTCAAACGCAGCAATTTTCAGTCACTGGGCTTAGCACCCACGCCTGAGAGCCTATGGGAGTGGTTAGGGCCTTCTGTGGGAGTGAGGAGGAATGCAGGGATGAGAGGGCAGCTTCCCAAGCTGCCCGCTTCTACTTTTTCAACACAAGTATCATTGTTTTGGGGTTCTAGCATTTTCTGATGGAGAGTCTGTTTGTAAAAAGGCCTTCATGGCCAATACAGGTTCAAAAACCACAAATCTAGACCAGCTACTTATAAATAAATAAACAAAGGAAGGAAGGAAGGGAAAAAGGGAAGAAAGAAAGAAATGGGATGGCGTAAGATGGCTCAGAGGGTAAAGGTACTTGGTACCAAGCCTGAACCTGGGTTTGATCCCTGGGACCTACATGGTGGAAAGAGAAAAACAGCTCTTGCAAATTGTACTGACTCTACATGCATACTCTGTGGTCCGCACAGGCTCCACCCTGGAAAGAAATGAGCGAAACAAACAAAACCCAAAGCCTGGCCCAAAGTGAGATGTGGAAAGGTGACGCACAAGTCCATCAGCCTGTCCCTGGATGCCGGATACACACTGCTGCACCTGCTTGTTGGTTTCAGAATCAGCCAGTTTCCAAAGGGAAGAATAAAAGAGAGCAAGGGACAAGTGACGGTGAAGACACCATGCAGACCATCCTGAGGCAGTGCTGGAGAAAGGGAAAGAGAAAACCTGTTCTGGTCTGTTCTGTGTCATTGAGGTTCTGGGGTGAGGCCTTCAGATGTAAAGAAATGCATGCTGGGAGCAAGGGCTGCTGTGCCAAGAATAACTCCGGAGGAGACAGTACAATCCCCAGTCTCCAGTAAAATGAACTCTATAATCAACTCCGCTGTGCTCTGTAAATATTCTATCCGCTGATAAAGAGCTCGGCAAATAGAGGCGGCGCCTAAGCACAGCTCCCAGAGCAGAAACTAGACGAGAGAGAGAGGCTGATGCCTGTCTCAGTGGCTGGGGTGAGGAAGGAACTTCTGTTGCGACATCACTTACACAGACTCAGCACTCAGTGTGGTGGCAGGTGAGCTCAGGGGGGCAACAGAGCAGGCTGCCAAGCTCTTCTCAATCATTCCTGTGCCCGCCAGCGTGGCTCCTTTAACAACAGATCTATTTGTACAAACTGTGCACTTCCTGTCTGGCCTGCCCTGGTCATTACCCTCTTACAAAAATCTTCTGACACGGCCAGAATCACCTGCAGGACTGGAACTCACACCCACTTGGCTCCAGAGTCGCCTTTCATTTTCAAGGACAGAGAGTTTATTTGTAAGAAGTATACAGGAAGTCATGATCATCTTAAATGTATAGCTCTGTAAACCTAAACCTGTTTACAAGCAGGATAGACTCCCTCAGGATCAGGACATATGTTTCCATGCCCAGAAGTCCACCCTCAATTTTCTCTCACAATACCATCACCAGTTATACCCATCCCCGCCTTATATCATTGAGAACACATTTCTCCCGTTCTTCAACTTTGGGTCAATGGATTCCTACAGTAGGTTCTCTTTTGTGCCCGGCTGCTTTACCCAACGCTGTGGGAGGTGCTAAGTGTACAGAGCCTGAATCTTGCCATACAGGCGTGTTCCATGCTGCCTCCCAGCAGCGACTCCTTCAAAGTGGCTCAGATGGGGGTGTGAGCCTTTGTGGGCAGAGTGGGAACAGCAGGCTGACTTCAGAGGTGGGCTGAGAAGGGAGGACTTTTCAGATCAGGTCCTGGCTGGACAATTCTTCCTCCCTAAGCCTTGAGTTTCCTGGACCCAGACTCGTAGCCAGAATACAAGTTCCTCTTCTGATTTTGTTTCTCTGTGCACAGAGCCAACTTCTTCACTACTGCTTTCTCAGATGTGTAGACACATTCCCCAGAATCAACCTTTCTGTGCCCGGCAGGGAAGTTCCTTGAATTATACACTTCCTGTCTGCCCTGTCCAGGCCTTTAACTTCTCACCAAATGCTCTGGCCAAGTTAGACTCACCTTTGGGGCTGGGGCTCATCGTCTCTTCCTTTACTACCCTGGGGATGTTTGCTTTCATGGCATTATCTGAAGAATTAAAATATTATTGTTATGATTGTCCTTGTTATTATTATTTTAGAGCCAGGATTTTAAGTATCCCAGGCTGGTTTCAAACTTGTTATGTAGCTGAGGATGACCATGAACTTCTGATCCTCCTGTACCTACCTTTTGAGAGTGCTGGATTACAGGTTACAACGGCATACCCCGGTTATGCGGTGCTGGTCAAGAACCCAGGGCTTTGTGCATGCTAAGCACTCTACCCACTGAGCCACGTTCCTAGCATATCTGGAGGGTTTTTTAGTTGTTGAACTTTGGGAACAAATGGAGAGCTATTGGCATCTAGTGGGCGAAGATATGGGGTCCTGCTAAGGACAAGCCTTGCCTGTAGGCAGAGACTGCTCTTACCTTTCCCCGACTGCTCAGACCCAAATAATCACACAGAAACTATATTATTCCAACACTGTTTGGCCTATTAGCTCAGGCTTCTTATTAATTTACTCTTACATCTTAAATTAACCCATTTCTATTAATCCGTGTGTCACCATGAGGCTGTGGCTTACTGGGAAAGGTTCTGTCTGTCTCTTTAGGCAGCTACATGGCATCTCCCTGACTCTGCCTACTCTCTCTATCTCTGTTCAAATTTCCTGCCTGCTTTACTCTGCTAAACCATTGGCCAAAACAGCTTTATTCATTAGACAATAAAAGCAGCACATATACAGAAGGACCTCCCACATCAACGGCCTTCCAGTAAGGAATGATGCAGGCCTCCATCTCACTCACACTGCTGCCGAGAACCCCTTTGCATGTCAACATCGGGCAATTGGCGTCTATTTCTTTATCTGGAACTCTCGTCCTGGAGTCAGGAGGCCTGGGTTCAGGACGCACTTGCCACTAGCTAGTCCTCTGACCTTGGTCAAGTCTCCCAACCTCTGCAGGCCCGTTTGCTCCCCTGTTGCTGGGAGCTGTGATGCTTGCCCCTCTGCCTGCAGGCTTCCTGTCTAGACCTGTTCAGGATGCTTCTATATTATTTCATGTGATGGTGACGGAAAACAGTGCCCGGGGATTTTTGTGTGCAGTGGCGGTGGAGGATACCTTTAGTAGCCTCGCTCTTCCATCTGCGTGAGAAAGGAGCTCACACACTAAGGGTGTTTCCTGAGCTGTAGGCAGCACTTCAAATACCCACAATTCCCATAGGCTGCAGTTCTGGACACTAGGACTTTTGGCCAAAAATGAAATTCTTGTGAGGCCTGTAAAAGGGTCTGCTAAAAAAACTTTTTAAATATGTGTTCCAGTCATTTAAGAGGCATCGGGCTGTAGACCCTCCGGGTTGAGGACACGGAGGCAGCAATACGATGAGAGGAACAGAACATTGGTGAGCTTAGCCTGCGGTGCTGTGCAGCATAGGGAGGGGATCGATCTCAGTGAGAACCAATAGGACTGCTGTGCTCAGCAGGCAGAAAAGGAAGGGCAGAGAGTCGGAGAGACTGCTCAGTGGTTAAGAGCACTAGTGCTTTTGCAGAGGATCCAGAACCCACACGGAGGCTCACTACTATCTGAAATGCCAGTTTAAGATGTATGATGCCCTCTTCTAACATGCGTGGGTACTGTGTGCACATGGTACACATATATACACTCAAGCAAACACATACATAAAATAAAATAATTAAGGAAGTTTACTTAGTAAATAAGAATGAGATGAGGGAGAAATAGGTTTTATCAACACAGGGGTGGGGAGGTGGATCAGTGGGTAAAGGGTTTGTTGTACACACATTAAGACCTGAATTTGAGGCCCCAGTACCTGAGTGTCATAGAACGCAACTGTAACACCAGTACTGGGAGGGCAGAGACAGACAGATTCCTGGAGCTCTCTGGATAGCTGCACCAATGAGCTCCGGGTTCAGTGAGAGACCTTGCTTCAAAAAATAAAGAGGAGAGCCAATGAGGAAGATACCTGATATTAACCTCTGGCCTCCATGTAGTGTGAACATACATGTGTGGGCACACCTACACACACATGTGTACACATACAATACAGTTGTTGAAGGGAGAATTAATGGTGGGTAATGCTGGGTTCTGATAGTTGGCTGTCATATTTCACTCATTAACAAATAACACGTACTGCCGTTCAGAATCTGGGGGTTAACTAGCCTTAGATGGGTTAACTAGACCCATGCAATAACATTTTAATGAAAGTCTCAAGAGGACCAACTTGTTCTCAAGGTTTTGGGGATGGTATTAATATTTTTCAGTTAGCTGCCCTCAATTCTATAATTTGAAACTGCTTCATAGATGGAGGGATGGCATCCACATTTATTTTCTAACATATTGTAACAGTGCAATGTCTCAATCAAAATGCATCTGTGGGGTTGTGTTCCCTGTAATGTGGCTTTTTACACTGGTTTGTGTGTGTGTGCCTGTATGTGTATGTGTGCATGCATGCATATCGTATGTATGTGTGGGCTTGTGTGTGTGCACACCTGTATGTGCCTGCATGTGCACGCACGTGTGTGTATGTGTGTCAATGTATATATGTGTGTCTGTGTCTATGTGTGTGTATGTGTGTATGTGTCCATGTTATATCTATGTGTGATTCTGTGCACCTGTGTGCACCTGTGTGTGTCTGCATGTGTATGTGTGTGTCTCTGTGTATATGTGTGTGTGAGAGAGTGAGAAAGAGATAGAGACTCTTGTCAGGAAATTTGCTTGTGCTATGACTTGGTTTATTTTTATTGATATTTTCCATACTTGGGAGTCATTCGGGTGCTTGGATTTCTGTAACATTTTATCATGCTTAGACATTTTTTGGTCACTTTTTTTTCACATATACTTTGGTTTATATACACTAGTTAGTTTGATATATATATA